AAATGCCCACAGCAGCCAGGTCTGGGCAAGCCCAATTAAGGAGTCCAGAACTCAGTCAGGGCTGCAAGGAGCCACACAGCTGAGCCACCACCTGCTGCCTCCCTGGATGCACACACTCAGGATGCTGGCTAGGAAGTAGAGGAACCAGGACTTGAACTAGGAACCCCAATGTAGATGTAATCACCCCAAGCAGTGACTAATGCACAATGCACCAATCCCATAAAAGACTTTTTAAACATAATGTTAGTACCTCAGTCCATGAACCTCCCCCAAAAAAGTTAGGGAAGAAAATGGTATTCACTAAGCCACTGTTTAAAGACTCTGGCAATGCCTTCCATGTGTGTACGGAAACACTGTACTTGTAAATGAGCGAGAACAAATATATAAATATATATATATACATATATCATATAACGTATGATTCACTGGAATCTGCAAAATAGAGTGGACTCCAACAACGTACGCAGTTGACATACTACCCAACAAAAGCAAAAGGAATTAACACTGGGAAGACACACATTCTCATTAAGAATGTCCCCAAAGTCATATACTTTAACATTCTCTTCAAAGTTAATTTCATCTTTTTCAACTATACCAGCTAGCATATTATCCCAAGAAATGTCTCCTTCATAACCAATATTTTTCAAAATGGACCATTCTAGTAACTAAACCATGCCAGTAAAGAAAACAAATTTCCTTTTACCCTGTCTATTTTCATCACCAGGCCTGTAGTTGTATTCAAAGAGATCAACAGGTTGTTGTCTATGGCCATACCACCCTAAACATTCCTGATCTCAAAGAGATCAATAGGTTAGAAAATTAAGAGAATAAGAGAATCAAGATGGCAGAATAGGGTAAGTACACATTTAAATGGACGGAGAAACATTTAATTAGGATGAAGCAGAGAGGACACATTCCAGGACATAAGAGAGGACAGAACAAAAGCAGAGGGGTACCTGGAGACTGACAAACACAGAGAAGCAGTGAAAACAATGGTGTGGTGTTGCAGTGACTGATACTCCAGCAGCATTCAACTAATGGCCATCTGAACTCCATCAGCAACCAGGTGGAAGGGACTTTAACTGGGAGCTTGGGAGGTAAACCCAGACAAAGAACTGTCCATCCTGCTGGTCTGTTTGATTTGACCAGGAGCAGAGACAGAGCAACAGATCCCAGAGGGGCAGTGTGAGAACAGGGTGGATTCACAGCCCATTATGCCCCCTAGAGCCAAATTGGGTGCCATTTTGCATAAGGAGGCAAAGGCAAGGGAAAGGACTGAGCATATGCTGAGCTGGGAGTGACCTCATTTCTGACTAGGTGAACAGCATCAACATGGCATTCTACAGGTTCCACCCAAGACAGGTCTGGGTAGCCCTCAGATGTGACAGCTATCAGATCAATAATTCTAGTAGTGGAACATCAGGCGCCATTTTGTACACTGTGGCAAAAATTTTAGGACTGCAGGGGACAACAGTGAGCTGCGCATGTGCTGAGCTCGCAAGAACTCACTGAGTTCAGTGGATTGCACTGGTCCCACACGAATATAATACCGACTGTGGCATCGTACAGGTCAAAATAGGTCCGTGTGGCCCCCAGACCTAACGTGCAACAGGTTCCAGCAAGATCAGCACCATCAACCTAGCTATATAGGACACCTGGTGTCTCTCTAATCCTGTGACCTGCTCCAACCGGAAGAGGGAGAAAGGCTGCAGAGACAACAGTGCAGCCTCAGCACGGTATCACATAGGTGGAGAGTGGTGAGCCAAGAGCTGGGGCTGTGGAGACCATGGTGGTTATCTGACAACAAGAACCCAGACCTGGAACTCGCTGGAGGTTGTGGCACAAGTGGCTGCAAGCAAAAAGTTGTGTGCCAACTGCAATAAGTAAAATCAAACTGTAGACCTGTGGGTGACACAGCTTAGAAACCTGCCCCAAGGAGAAACTCTGCTAACCAGAAGTACAATGATCAAGAGCAAAAGAAGAGACAAAGGCACAATGAATATTACTGAACACTCCCCTGCAAAGGAGCAAAACCCTATGCCAACCTCAGAGTTAAATGAGGAAGACATTGAGAAAAGAATTCAGAAAACTCATTTTAAAGCTTCTGATCAACAATGAGAAGCATATGCAAGCGTTCAAAGAATTTAAGAAACATGTTAAACAGGAAAAAGCAGCAATAAAGCAAATCAAGGCTGATCTATCAGAAATTCAGAATACAGCAGAGCAAATTAAAAGTACAGTGGAGAGTCTCCAAAATAGAATGAAGCAAGCAGAAGAAAGAATCTCAGAATTGGAAGATATTTCCTGTCATCAGGGGGAAGCAAACAAAAAGCTGGAAGCAGAGCTAGATCAGGCCAAAAAAAGCATTCAAGAATTGAAAGACACTATTGAGAGGCCAAATATAAGAGATATGGGAGTCCCAGAAAGTGCAGAAAGAGAAACTGGTTTTACAAATATATATTTAATGAAATACTAATGGAAAATTTCCCTAATCCAGAGAAAGAATTGAGAAACAAGTTCCAGGAGAGGCACAGAACTCCCAATAGGCTTGATCAAAAGTGATCTTCACCACGACATTGCAATCATCAAGCTCTCTTCAATTGAACATAATAAGATCCTTAATTGTGCACGTGAAAAAAATCAATTGACATATAAAGGAATGCCAATTAAACTCACAGGAGATCTCTCACAGGAAGAGGTCAAAAAGAGAATGGAGTGACATATTCCAGATTCAAAAAAAAAAATAGTCGGCCCAGGATAACATATCCGGCAAAGCTTTCTTTTGTCTTTCAAAATGAAATAAAATTCTTCCACAGTAAAGAAAAATTAAAAGAATATGCCCCTTTCAAGCCTGCTCTACAAAGGATACTTCAAGATGTTCTCTTGACAGAGAAGAGGAATAACACTCACTAAAATCAAAGGCAAATGTGAAGAACATCCCAGTAAAATGACAACAGAAAACTACATCAATGAACAACCCATTCCTAAAATGACAGGACCAAATTATTACCCATACATATTAAACCTGAATGTAAATGGCTTAAGCTCAATCAAATGTCACAGATTAGTAGACTGGATTAAAAAACAAAACCCATCTATTTGCTGCCTACAAGAGACAGATTTCACGAACAAAAATCAGTGGAAACTATATCTCATGGATTTTGATTTGTTTTTTGTTAGTTTCATCTCTTCAAAGCAGTTTCTTCTGATTAAATCCTTCAGTGACTTATAGATCATAAAGTAGCATTATTTTCTTCAAGAGGTTCTTGATTTTTTTCACTTCTTCAGCAACACATTAGTCATTCAGTAGCATGTCATTTAACTTCATGGTGCTGTTAATTTCTTTTTCCTTCCTGTTGTTGATTTTGTTTTGTGTCTTTTCATTTAAGGGGAATAGTAGCTGTGTAATGGAGAATGTCATATCTAGTAACATGTCATTTGACTTCATGGCATTGTAAATTTCTATTTTTCTTCCTATTTTTGATTCTGTACTGTGACTTTTCATTTAAGGGGATGTACAGTAACTGTGAAATGGAGACTAACATATCCAGATGTGAGGATAAAATATAGCATGCATCTCTACTTCCAGACAAACATGGACTTACAATGAAACTGTTTACTGTATCTTGACAATAGGATGCTGGACTTTCTGCCATTGTTCATGCCAGCAATGATGTACATATGACTGTGTATGAAGAATTATACTTTAGTAATGATATGGGGGAACTAGGTTGGGGGGATTGGTGAGGGGATAAGGGGAATCCCAGGAGACTCTTTAACTGTATCATAAAATGATAATAATAATTAATTAATTTAAAAATAAAATAAAAAGAAAAGTAAGAGAACAGACTAATGATGCATTATTACATCACGTAGGAACTTGATGAGACAAAAGTTTACAATAATGTTCACCACACACTTGGTGTTAACAATCCAGCAGTGAACCAATTAGGAAAGCCCCCAATGTTCCGAGTTTCCTGAGCATGTAAACACCCTCCTCCCCACGGCCCAAACAAGGAAATGGAGATCCAGAGAGTGAATTCTGTCCATGGGTAGTGTGTTCCCAGTGTTAGAGCAAGGCAAGAACAAGAAGCGGATATCCTATATCTCATAACAAGAGGCTTAACGTGCCTGCAACTGGCTTCACTTCACACCCACTGCTCTCTGCTCCTAGGAGAGGTATCCTGAAGAAATGCAATTAGTAAGGCAGGATCACGCTCAAGGTTCCTAACTAGGTGAATCCTACTTAATCGTTACCAACGCTACAAATTATGAAAACTTACATTTAAAAGAAACTTATTGTTGAACACAATGCTTAACCAACTCTAACAGTTTTGTACAGTACCTAACACTATTAGGGCTGCCAGTACTCAGTCTGACTTGGAATATTCATTATCTTAAAGACCAGGGGGTGGAGATCCCTTCTAAAATAAGGAGGAGGGGAATCATGCAAAATTAACGAACTGCTCATAAATATGTAAGAGCTCCCGGTGAGCAGAGCAGCTTCTACCACCAAGCTTCTGAACCGCGGACCCGCGCCTAGCGCCCACGCTCCCCTCCCGCCCATTCTAGGGCTGGCGTCTGCCCGCATCTCCGGCTCAACTTTAACTCTCCCACGCCCGCCGAGGATGCCACCCGCCCACGACCCGGCACCTCGGCCACGACACGGCGCGCGCAGGCCTCGGGTGTGTCCTCGGGACCGGGGGCCGCTTGACATTCAGGGACGCCGGGGGCAGCCACACCCACCGGCGTGCGGGTGACAGCTCAGCAGGCACAGCCGGCCTCCGCCCCGCCGCCTCGCCGACAGGTGCAGCGTCCTCTCTGCCTCGCCCGGGTCCCGGTCCGGGCCCGGGTCCCGCCGCCCACGAGCCGCCCGGCCCGCCCCCGCGCGCACCACCTGTCGGGCCATTCCGCGCGCGCCCGCCTGCGGACGCCACGCCCGGCTCGGCAACAGCGGCCGCCGGGGGAAGCCCGGAGTTCCGGGAGGAGGAGAGCTTTACCGAAGGGTGGGCCCCACGCAGGCAGTGTCCGTGCTCTCAATCTCCTGCAAGATTCGCTCGTGCTCTGGGACGGCGCCCAGACCCTCGAGGCTGTCCGCCATCTTGGCTGGAAGCTGAGGAACCAGCGGAGCGCGGCGCCGCGGGAACGACGGGAGCGAGCGGCAGGTGGCGCGAGCGCGAAGGGGCGGGGCCGGGGCGGGGTGGGGCGGGGCGGGGCGTAGGGCGAGGTAGGGCCTGGAGGGGGATTGGGCGGAGCGTGAGGCTGGCCGGGTGGGCCGAGGCGGGGCGGGGCTTGAGGCGGGGCGGGGCGTAGGGCGAGTTGGGGCGGGGCTTGAGGCGGGGCGGGGCCAGCCCGCGCGGCCCCGGCAGGCCCGGTCACCTGCTGGCCGTCGCCTGCCGTGTCCCTATCCGCCTGCTATGGCGGGGGGCGGTTCTCTGACCCCTGGCCGGCCTTTGGGCGAGACCCTGCCGGTCGCACAGGCTTGAGTTCTGTGTGCCGGACCCTCAGCTACGCGCGGGCTGTACAGTAGGAATGGGGATGGTGGACATTGGTAATAAAGCTACTGGAACATTTGACGGTGGTGGCCAGAGGTGTGGGGAGACCGAGAAAGGAAAACATGCAGTCGCAAAAAAGCAAAGTGCCGGCCTTAGCCGACGGATTTCTCAAACCTTGGTGACTGGGACAGATTCCTGCTGGTTGCCCGCAGGAAGTTCACAAAGGTGAATCCGGAGCTGTGGATTCTGAGCTCCAGAGGAGACCCTTGGGACAGAGGGCACTCTGATTTGATGCCAAGGTCCTTAAACCCCAAAGTCCCCAGGTCACAGTGACTGGGATGAGGAGCACTCGGGCTAAAGTACCAGTCCTGAGGAAATGACATGTTTGTGGGACGCCCAGTAAAGCAGTTTGTGGTGATCAAAGCTGCTGCCGAGCCAGGTTAGTCAGCAGGACTGCCAGGCGAGCCCGGAGGCTGACCATTTTCTGGTCTGCAGTCTGGGAGGGCTTTGACCTTGTCGGTGAACCAGCCAAGCTGTGTAACTTGCGCCCTTCAGCGAACTTCAAAGAGAGGCCAACCCCACCACACAAAAACGCCGAGAGGCGGGAAGAAGTGTCCTCAAGTTGTGACACTCGGTAAGATTCCGATCTCTGTCACTTTCTCGTGATCTCGGTTTCCCTGTCTGTGCGTGGCTCACGGTGCTGTTCCATATTGCACATCGGAAAGTGTGTGCAGAGCGCATATTACAAAAACAACTGCATAGATTTCAAAAAAGTTTGCACCAAAACCGTCTTTTCTCTGCGAGCCTTATGAATTACCCTGGTATTGGTTTTCTGCTGTAATGGTTGCAAATCACCAGGGATCTGGTAACTTTAAACAATTCTAGTCTAATTCTCTGGGTTACAAGTTTGGCATGGGGGGTAGGGAGCTGCAGATTGGCTCAGTGGCTGAATACTCGCCTTGCAAGTGGCTGGGACCCCATATATGCTCTGGTTCGTGTCCCAGCTGCTCCACTCCCCATCCAGCTCCCTGCTTGTGGCCTGGGAAAGCTGTAGAGGATAGCCCAAAGCCTTGGGGCCCCACACCCGTGTGGGAGACTGGGGAGAGGCTTCTGGCTCCTGATTAGCTCAGATCCTACCATTGCCGCTGCTTGGGGTGCGAGCCAGTGGACAGAGGCTCTTTCTGTCTCTTTTTCTGTCTTCTCTCTGTAAAGCTGTCTTTCCGATAAAAATAAATAAATCTTTTTTAAAAATAAAGGCCTGGCATGGGTCTGACTGGGTTACAATCCAGCTGTTAGCCTGCCTTGAGCTCCTTTCCAGAGGTGCTAGGAGAGGATTTGTTCCCTTCCGTTTTGAGCTTCAAGCTCCATCCCATTCTTTGACTTGTGCCCCATGCCACCTTCATCTTCAAAACCAGCGCATAAAGTCGTGTACTCACAGGTTCCAAGGATTAGGAAGACCACCATCCTGCCAGCCACAGTTAGGAAGGCCCCTATTAATACCTTCCTTCCTGTCCATCTGGAATCAATCTGTCTTTGAAAAATTCAACTCATTATTTACTTCCTTCATAAAAATTTCCGCTTCGCAGTCAGCTCCCTCCTAATGGACGCAAGGAAACAGTAGCAAATGATTCAAATGCTCGAGCCCTTGCCACGCACGTGGGAGACCGGGACGGAGCTTGGCCTGGTTACTGCAGCCACTCAGGGAGAGAACCAGTGGGTGGAAGGTGGAAAGTCAGATATACAAGAAAGAGAAGGAGGAGAGACAGCGAGGAAGATCTTCTGTCTGCTGAGTCACTCCCCAAGTGGCCACAACAGCCAGAGCTGAGCCAATCTGAAGCCAGGAACCAGTAGCTTCTCCCTAGGCTTCCACACGGGTGCAGGGTCCCAAGGCTTTGGGCCATCCTCAGCTGCTTTCCCAGGCAACAAGCAGGGAGCTGGATGGGAAGTGGAGCAGCTGGGATTAGAACTGGCACCCATATGGGATCCTGGCACATGCAAGGTGAGGACTTTAGCCATTTGGCTAGCTTGCCAGGCCCACCAATACATCTTTACAAAAAAGAAAAAAAAAAAAGATTCGCTTAGCTAATCACAGTCTTCTTTAAAGACTAAGACTAACATAATTTTCTACCTCTCCATTCCTGTTTCAACAGTTTAGGTTTGTTTTTATTAGTTTCTTGGCACACACCTGTGGGGCTTGGTTTCATTTGCACACTTGGTCCTCAGGGAACCCGAGTGAATGCTTTCCTGCAACACCAGGAAGCCCTGCCCATTCTCCTGCTCCTCTCACCAAGGAGCCCCATGGCAAGCCAGTGCCAAGTCGCCATAGCCTCTCCTTGTTTCCACCACTCCGGTTGTACGGGACAGTCCAGATTGCTCTGGGAAATCCTCCCTCCCTGTGCCTCCAGAATACATGGGCCGAGATGCCCTTGGTCCCCAGTCCGCCGCCACTGTCACACCATTGGGCCCTGAGTCCACATGACTCAAAAGAAATGTTTGGCAACTTCCTGTAGTTCCTCATTGAGTTCTCCACATAACCGAGAGAAAGCTGGAGGGGTTCTGAAACCCAGCGGTGCTGAAGCTCTGAAACCCTTGGAAAATGTCCAGGATAAGCCAAAAAGGAAGGTAGGAGTTGGATTCGTGTGAGCCTGGTAACAATCAGGAATTAGTCCCATACCAAATTGGAAGAAGTTACTTTCTTCAAACTAGCTCTTTACATACTGAAATGTGATATGGTTTATCAAGAGCTCTTCTGGGGAATCTACAGCATCGGGATGGTGTTACTTGCAATTCCCTGGCACCATCTGTGATCTGGACTCCGCACAGAATACACGGTATGTACAAACTTTTGTCAGGGAGATTATAAGCTTTACCCATTTCTGTGTTAATTTAAAAACGTTCCCTTGGATGCTGCTACATCCCTGTGCGTAGACTCAACCTTTCTAATTGTTTTTTCTTGTTTGTTTAGGAGGAAAACACTGAACTGTTTGCTTGACCGACTACCCCTCCAGTGACTGAGACATCACCACCTGGTGTTAGAACAAGATAACTGCAGGAGAGAGAGCAGAATAAAAAACTGAGTCTAAAACAAGAACACAAAATGAGGGCAAATTGTATCCCCTGCTATAAAGAGAATACAGTGGAGGTGATCTTGGCTCAGTCAATGGGAATAACAAAAATTCATCACTTGGAAGAACAAAGCAAGATACACAGCCCAGGGCCTGGGACATGGACAGCTTCCTGTGGGACAGGGGTCTCGTTCTGACCATCCCTTCCTTCCCGAAGCATCTGTGACTCAGGCCTATCCTCCTTCTCTTCCCCAGTCCTGACACCACTTATCCAAACCAAGCCCCAAATGCTGCTGGGGGCCCAGCCCTGCTCAGGCACTCCTCGGGCCAAGCCCATTTCAACACACGCCCATAGAGACTGCCTCAACAGAAGCAGAACTGTCTTCCACGCAGTTTAAGTCAGGATGGAAGAAAGCGCTTTTGTGCATTTACTGTTTCTGACATAGTTTCTTGCTGGTTCCCTCTGTGACTTCTTCCCCCCTACCCAAGATGTATTTATTTATGTGGAAGACTTACGGAGAGAGAGGGAGGGGAGGAGATCTTCCTCCAGGTTACCTACATGAGTAGCGGGAACCCAAGCACCTGATCCATCTTCCACTGCTTTCCCAGGCACATTAGCAGAACTGGATTGGAAATGGAGCAGCCAGGACATGAACTGGCATTGTATGGGATTTTGGCATTGTGAGCGGTGGCTTGGCCCACCAGCCTCCACCTCTGTGACTTCTGACAGTTCCCAGTACCTGAAAACTTCGGCTAAGGATTTAAAACAATGTCCTCCCTAACTCTGTAGATTTTAATCTAGGCAGTGCTCTGCCAATGTAGCAGGATGGGGGTGGGGGGAGCGGGGCTGGAGGGGAGGAAGCCTCCCCAAGGGGCAAGTGGCCCAGTCTGTGTGGCCTGAGGAGGTTGGCATAGGAGTGCACATTGCACGTGCAGTTCTGTTTTGGAAGTGGATATTAGCTTTCAGAAATCTGTGCTCAAAGAGGAAATTACACCAGTAAGACTGGCCAAGCAGAAGACACATTCTATGTCGAGTACAAAACCGACCAGCAAAGTAAGAATTTAACTTGTAAATAATCTCTCAGCCATTAACAGCCTACACTTTGAACCCCTTGTCTAATAACCTATCTTGGGTGAGCGTCCTGAGAAGGAGGCTGTCGAATAGAACTGCCCCAATCCGGCACTGAGCTGCTGCGGTTCAAATTCCAACACATCTCTCCACGCTGAGCCCTGGCGAGTTATCAGCATGGCTGAACCTCTGCTTCTTCCAGGGTGAGTTGAGAACGGTAATGGTCCCTGCCTTGACACACATGTGTAGGGATTGAAGGAGAGAGTATGTATCTAATGTTTTGTCTGGAGCTCAGTTAGTGTTAGGGACTGGGATTACTAGACATTTGGTTAGGAAGCCGGGTAGCCCAGCAGTTGACTTCCTCTTTGATAAAATAAAAATAAAGCCAGACATAGAAATGTGTTTTATTTTTTAAACCTTTACAAAATAGCATGGTTCTATATGATGATTTCTGGGTGCGCAGTGGATGGACATTGCCTGACACTTGTTTGCTATTGTGGAGAAGTACATTCT